CATCGCCGTAGTTTCGGACTCGCCTCCCGCCCCCCCCCCCCCCCACCCCCAAACTAAAATGCAGCCTGGATACCTCATTTTTTTAGTTAAACTAAGCCAACGATATGTTATTGTACTTTACTATAGTAGTATGCATGCGCCAGAGTTGGCTCTAATTGCATTTCATGCTTCAAATCGTTTTCAATGATACATAGTTGCATGAGCTTTGCTACAACTTAACTTGCTTTTACAGCACAAATCAACCTTAACATGCCTCACTGTGGGCCAGGAAGATTCTATATCACAATTCACGGCTGAGTATTTAAAATGAACAAGGCAACAAAACTAAATCAGGCTGGAAACAATATACACTAATTAGGATTTAGGACACATTATGTTACATTTGATCTGTAAAGATAAAATCTATACAAGCTTTTTCCTACCTTACTTTATCCCAACCAACTGGTTATCATTTCTGACACAAGCTACATCCCAGTCACCCCTACTCTAATGGGATGCAGATTGGTGAAAAAGGGGAAGAAAAAAAAACTAAAGAATGGTGAGAGAGAACATTACAGAGACATAAAAAATCTGTACAGCAAGAGAATTAATTGGGACAACAAATAAGTTACAACTGTACAGCCACTAATCTTCTATCCGCTGTATCTCACCCATCATGATGCGATTGCTTGTGACCTTGAATCCAAGAAGAGCTGGATCGATTTGTCTTCCTTTCTTCCCTTTTTTCTTGCTGCCGCTACGAGCACCCTGTGTTCCATCTGATGATTCTGAAGCATGAGCCTCCTGGGCTGTTGGCTTCTTCACACTACTCTTAACCATGTCACTGAATGATGTCTCTGAAACATCAGAATCACTACATGAGGCAGTTCGCCGAAAGCGCACATCTTTCTTTCCAGGTGTCACTATGTCAGTGGCTTGATTTGCTGTGTTACCTCCAACTTCTACTTTCCCCCCTAATGGAAAAAAATTAAAGGTGTTAAAACGAAAGGCATTAGCAACTGCTGGTGGAAAGAACTAGAGGCATGATGGAAAAGCAGACCAATACTATTAGTATATTCCGCCCACATCTTCAAGGTGCAATACAGGTTGGGACCACAGTAAAAATCCAGACCATACAAGAGATAAATAACAACAAAAGCAGAAAGATAAACTACCTTCAGAAACCATGGCATTCGAAGGATTTTTCCCTCTAACAAGTGAATCAGAAGTCAATTCAGAAAACCCTTCCAGGTTAGATGATACTCGAGAGACAGGTGGACGCTTCAGCAAAATGTTTTCTGGCCTTTTTGATGTCATTGCAGACACCCTATCCAAAAAAAAAAGAACCAAACAGATGCATTATGCAAACATTACCAAGGTAATCTTCATGATATCACATACATAATCTCGTATAGCAATACCAGACAGACCTGATTGGTAGTCCACCAATGCATACATACACAAGAATGCCATATTTCATGAGAGGAACAACCTTTTTTCTTTTATTTTTTTATTAATGGGAGAGGAAGAAACTACTAGAATGGATAAATAACAATTGATCATTGGTGTCCCTTATGTTACAAACTTACAAAAATAACCATATTCCTGAGACAAATAGAATTAAAAGAAGTTTAACCATGGAAACGGTAAGCCAAAAATAAAATTAGACCTTTACTCGGATAGAAGCAGGAGATAATCCTTACCGTTCCTTAGCAGGTTCCTCTGGCAAAGAGTCACCTGTACCAATCTTGTTATCATACAAGCCAACATTACCACCTGAAGTCGGGTTGAAACAGTTGTCATTTCTCCACAAAAACAAAAAATCCAACCAGGAAAATAGAGCACAAGAGACGGACTAACACTAACCTCCAGTCCCAAGTGAAGTAGGCCTACGGAGAATGTTTACTGGGATGTCCCCTGTTATAGCCGTCAGACCAGCTTGCTCGACAGCGTTTTCTCGAGCCTCTGTGTGCCTCTGCATAAACCATCTTGAAATTTAAGCACGGCTGTATCACCTCAACATATTAAACACATCTAGTCAGGTATCATACCTGGGAGGCGTCACTGATGCTGGAAAAGAGAGGATTAGCTTCAGCCAACGCTCCAGAATGAAATTTGTGGGGCAATCTTTCCCCCCCAGCAAGAACACGGGACCTCTCATCCACAAGATCTCTCTGTGGTAGCAGACCTGAAGTAGAACCGAACGACCCTACAGAGAAGGTTTGGCTTTGACTCATATCCTGATTCAATAGGGGATTAATTGAGCGGTTTGCTGAATTTGTCCCAAGAACATGACCAGAAGGTATCTCATGTGAAATTCCATTGGGCATTTCTGCTTGCTCAGTTGACTGCTGGCCATATTTAGGATGAAGCAGTTCCAAAAGCAATCGCTTTGAACTGTCATCATTCATACCAGCTGACATCCACATACTAGGATCTTCAGAAACCTGTTTGACATCAAAATCCTTTTTTTCCCTCTCACTATTGAGATTCAGTTGCTTCATTCCGGATTCCATCCAATCCATAGGTACCTGACCGTTGCTTTTAGACCAATGTTTTTCAATGGTATCTGGATGCAAAGCATGAAACTGGTTCGGAACCAAATGCTGGTGAGGAGATTGCGAGTAGACATCATTTGAGAACCCAGCCATCTGAGCACCTGAATGCATTCTTGAATTCAGATCTTGCATTTCTAAACTTTGTTGCTGCACAAGTGGATTTGCAACATCCATTTTTAGTCCAGGACCACCAACTGGTAATGACATTGATCGTTCAAACGGCAATAATCCAGAGTCATAGAGACCATGTGCGAATCTATCTTGTACGGACAAATTCCTTTCAAGGTGACTTAAATGTTCTTCGGAAGATGGTACCTGTTGCTGTTGGTAAAAATCTAATGGTCCAAATCCAGAGTTGGATCGATGAGCATCGGTTGGGATTCGGAGAAACTGACCAGCTTCATCTACAGGCCATACAGAACCAGAATGCCTGTCTTCCTCCATTTCCAATTGTTGCCTTAATCCAACAGGCAACTGCCTGCTATACAATTGTTCTTGCTGAAGAATTTGATGAGCCAAAGGGTGCATCTGTCCATGTTTTGCTCGTGATAGGAGCTCCATTAAATCATTTTGATGCCCTTGATGTGGCATTTGACCAAGTTTAGCCTGAATGAGATGCTCAATTGATGGTTCAGTATGTCTTGGATGAAGGTGAGAGCGTTGTAGTTCAGTTAGAATTTGCTGCTTCATCAAAACCTGTTCCAGGGCATTGTTAGGCCTTGTAGCATCAAGACGTGACTGTGCACGGTTAGTATCAGACATTTGACTCTGCAACAATTGTTCAAGAAGCAACTGTCTAGCATGAGACTGTTGCTGTTCTTTCAGTAGCATCTGCTGTTGATGGAACTGTTGCTGTTGCTGCATTTGCTGATGTTGTTGAAGCTGCAGCTGTCTCTGGTGCTGCAGCTGAAGGGCCATAACGCGTTCCAAATCCTGCTCAATTTGACTGGCAACCTGTGGGTGGTGTACTGAATTATGGCTTGCCCCTCTTTCCAGCATTGCTTCATTCAAGTGGCTGTTATGAGCAGACAGTAAACTATGTGGATGTTGTTGAAGTTGCTGAGAGAACAGCTTTTCTGCCAATTCAAAATGATTTGGTTCCCGGTCCATGTGCGACAAGCGGTGAGCATCCATGGCATCTTGATATAAGTTCGGGTCAGAAGGAGCATTTCTTCTATAAGCATCCCACATTTCTGCAGTAGAGGTTGACTCGGTCCTTGAACCAAAAGGGGCAACCCTTGCAGCTACAGGGTTTAGAATTTGATCCTGACCACCTCCGCTAAAAGGAACATTGGGAATTTGATCATTCCTTCTTGAAGTGCCTTCGAGCTCGGACCATAACAAACCAAGTGGGTGCATTTTATCTTTCTGACTCGGAGCCCCGGGCTCCATTAATTCATTAGGAATGGGATGATTGGTATTCGAAAGATCAGTGGGGCCCCTCAAAGTTTTTCCAATAGGATTGCCTCTACTTCCGGGTCTACCTGGAAACAAAGTTTCTGCAAATGAAGAAGATTATTTAAAGAATCAGCTATGAAAACGATGTCATCCACAAAAAATATCAACAGTCAAAAACGTAGCAGTGTATAGGGAGGAAAAGGATTAAGATGCCCTCTTTCTATAAGAAGTAATCCTCTACTGGAATAAAACAGGAATTCAATGATAAAATGCTGACAAACCTTCATTTTGACCAGCGAATTCATTAAAGTCTTCACTTTGAGAATATGACAGATCAGGTACTTTTGACTGAAAACGCTGTGCAGCAAGACCATCAAAATCAGATGATGGCCAGCTTAATCCATCAAGGGGAGCTGAAGAAACAAGCTCACTAACAGAACTGCGTAAACCAGACTCCAGCTTCCCCTCTAATACAGCAGGTTGATCAACCTTAGGGAGATCCGTATTACTGGCATACATATGTCCAAATTTTAAATGCGGCATTACATCACCCAATTCGTAGAAAGGTGAATCCTCAGGAGCACCTTCCACGCGAACCAGTAAGTCAGTTCCAAAAAATCCTTGCTCAAACCATGATATGATGTCAACTCCAAGAAATGGTCCCTGAATTTCTCCCTGAGGATCACAATAATACAAACTCAATTCCTCAGGTGGGATATCCCTCTCTATTTGGTTTTCAATACCACTGTGTCTTGAGTTGTTGATATCAGAGGGCATGATATATATAGAATTTGAATTATCGGGAAGCTTTGCACTGACATCAAAAGCAACATTCTGTTCAATGCTCTCAAAGAGAGGGTGCCTAGTTGCTGCATAATCAGGTAACTTGATTTCAGAATGATCAAGTTGAGAACTACTTCTATCTGTCAAGCTGCCTATGTTGTCAGCTCTTTTATTGGTCAACAAAGTGTCATCCCTAGCAATATCTTCAAAAACTTTCTCTTTTTGTACTTCATGATTTGCATCCCCTTCTAGAGAGACAACAAATTGCTTTGTCAGATCAACAAGAAAAGCAATCCAGATAAGCAACACTTAAAAGAATTCCGAAACACATGAAGTTAAATACTTTACTTACCACCCAATATGACATTGACATCATTTCCACAGAAAAGGCTATTGACGTTTGCCTCTTCAACATCTTTTAACGTTTTTGGAAACCTATCCCCTGTCTCCTCAATGATGTCTGCAGAGAGAATGCCCTGTTTTCCATCGGCAAACTCGCCATCCCCTATTTCTGGAAAATACACACACAAATTCAGAAAGGACGACTTCCACTCAACGCAGCACCACATGAGAGCGATCAAGAAAAATTACCTGTAACATTATCCGTTGATCGGCCCTTTCTGTAAGAATTGTACATCACACCACTACTAGTAATTTTACCTTGCCATATATCATTAAGGATGGCCTGTAAGATAGATTTAACAAGCTAAAGTTATCAATATCAATAACTACATCATTAACTACAGGTAAGAGTGCCAATAATAATGTAATTCACATAGCTCACCTCCTCCTCAGAATCAGGAACAACAAAAGCTAATGGTTCAGTGATACTTAGTTGAGTGATAGGGGGTGCTTCTTCCATATTTACAGGCAAGCTACAAAAAGATTGCTCCAGCTTTTGCCTGCGGTATATATCCAAAATCTTCCCCCGCGGATAACAATATGTGTGAGTTGAGATGCTTGGTTTTCCAGGGACAGAATTGTCAAATTGTGCAGCCCCAATTGCACACCCAGAAGGTTTTAAAATGGCCACACTAGATCTCCCACGCCCCATGGTAAATCCCACATTTGACCCCTCGACTCTTCCTTTCTCCCCTCCAAATCCTGGAGCAGCACGATAGGAACCAGGAGCACCAGAGCTACCCTCCAATCTATGCCGTGGTCTCCACTTATCTCGAGTATCTGACTCCCGCTCGGACACAGTACGGTTAGCACCAAATGTTTGAACCTCATTATGAACTTCGTCCTTATCTACATCTATCCTCTTCTCACTCCGTGCTTCCTTTTCTTTGTCTTCAGGACCCCACCTAGAGGACCACTTGGTATCACGTCTTGTGTCATGCCCCAAATTGCGATTATTAACATCGTGCCATCTGTCAGAAGCAGGCAAAGCTCTAGCGTCTGTGGTTTCTTTGGCAGGAGCATTTTCAGCACGGCGATCTGGTTTCCTACGATCTCTTCTACCAAGCAAGCCAGTTTCCCTCTCCTCTTCACGCCATCGGCGACCACTCTCCGTCTCTGCTGTGGGTCTTCTCCAATCTTTTTTTTCATCAGGCACATCTGAACGCCAAGCGTCCTTCTGATTTGAATCAGCAGAACTTCCAAGTGAGAGAGAACTTGGTGCACGCATTTCCTGTGGTGCATAATAGAGTTTGACCAAAAAAAAAAGATTACGGTTGAAGAACTAATAGCAGTAGAGAAGCTAGCATGGACAAGTATAACCAACAAAACTTGAAATACCTAGAGAATGAAGATGGAAAATCCAAATGCAGTAAGATGATAATTTAAATATTTAAGTAGACTAATATCGTTCATGAAGGTATTTGAAAATTTTCTCAAAAATGATCTAGAAGGAAATAAGTGACAGTAACCAACCCAACATAACCCTGAAACATGGAATGCAAAATACAGCAAAAGTTAAATTGTGAAATATTTTAAGGGGTAGTTTCGAGTTTATTTGTATACAATAGTCCGAAGAGAAGAATCAATGGTGACATATCCAAATGCAATTTTTAATAAGTCAGCACTGTCAAGAAGGAACATTCATGAAGAAAGCAATTCCTATTATAGTCCATGGATTGTAAATAATATATATCACAAAATCAATAAGTCATCAAAAGCCTAGGCCACTATTTTACCCCACGTGTGCTCCATTACAGGTGTAACACTTCCATCTTGAATAGACCGAGCATATTTCAGTGACACGTGTTTTAATAGCAAGATTGAAGTATATGCCTCAGTCTGCTAGGTTATCAGTAATAACATATCGCTCCTGCATCAAACAAGATGACACAGAGAGTGTGCACCATAATGACAAAGTAATTCACTTCCCAAGGACCCACTACATAATATATAGCACAAAAAACACAATTTACAAATTGATCGGACATCTTGAAATTGCAGGGTTAGTGGGCAGTGTCTTCGCTTCTTTAATATTATCTCCACACCAGTCAGGCTGATATCGACCTTGACAATACTCCACACCAGTCAGGCTGATATCGACCTTGACAATACATTAATTCATTATCCAAGGGGCTTCAGACTAACTTGGACAGTGGGTATCCGATTACCTTTTCTTTTGAAAGTTAGAGAGTGTCTACGGCAAAGGAAAACTTATTTTATAGCACATTCTAATATTCATCACACCTTACACATACAGTTAGGTCCAAGTTGATGTTTTCATTACTTGAGATGCTACTAAATTCTTTCCATGGTCTCACAAAGTGTTGACTTCTCCAATTTTAAACCATCTGTCAAGAATAATATACACTGATAATAAAAGAATAATAATTTAAAATCTCCTGAGAATGGATAATATTAAGCTTCACATACGTAATTTACCAAAAAATAGGTTACTACAAACATAATTCTTGGAAAGGCAAAGTGCCCGAGGAAACTATAAGACACTCAAAGGATTTCAAAAAAAATCTAGACTCAACAGTGATCTCCTTTGAAGATTGGTGTCATGTGATTAGGTATTACATATCAAGAGGACCAACAGTTAACTAGAAGAATAATTAGTATCTTAAATGCAAACTCACCATCTTAGAGTCACTTGGTTTCACATAAAGCCACTGGGGAGACAAAGGAATGTTACTGTCCACCGCTGCTTGATCTAAAGAAAAGGCCAACCAACAAAAGCAGCATATCGTGTACATATTAAAAGGTCAAACTCATGAATGGTAAAGCAGCTAAGAAGCTATTTCAACAGTTCCAGATAAAGATACATAACCCACATGCAAAGACAATTAAAAAGGGAAATGAACTACCTTTTGAATCGTCAATCGACACCAAGAATGACTTGTCATCATAATTACCTGCAGATGTGTCTTAAGAAATGTAAAGCATGAAAACACAAAATGAAATAAAAACAACCCCCCTCCCAGCACCAACAAAGAAAGAAAAAAGAAGAGAAGGCAAGATGAAAATGAACATAGATTTCCAGCTTGTGCGCTAAATCATACCAAAAATGAGAAACATGACACAGATGTGAGAAAATGCAAAAGGGATAACAAACAGGGTCTTACAAAAGAATATACACTATAATTCAAATCCATTTATCTTCTAATGCCTCGTCCAAACAGTCAAATGTAAGTCAAACAAAAAGGTCGGAGTACAATCTGAGCACACTTGCTTCCCCACAGTTTTGCCAAATTCCCCATATTTTAAGACAAAACACAATACTTTGAATTCAAAAATCCAATAGAAGCAAAGAAATTGATTTAATCAATGAATGAACTATACTTCAACCCCGGACTAGTTAATAGTCCGTTTCATTTCAACAAGGCAAATAATTTGACAGAGAGAAATTGATTCAATATCTGACGCAGCAAATCGAAATATATAAATAACTACAGAAGGATAGCCTAAAAGACCACAGCAAAAGGGGGTCTGATTCTGATCTGAAACCCTAGAATTAAACGGCAAAGTAAGTACAACTAAACTCAGATCAATAAAACCCTAATATATGGCATTAATGACATTTTGAATCGAACCAAATAAAAATTAAAAACAAAAAATATACAATAAAGAGCAGTACCTTTGGAAGAAAGGAGATCGTCAGGGAGATCGAGCTTGCTTTTGGCCATTGAATAAGAACAAGATCGATAAGAGCAAACAAGAGAGAAGTGAAGTTAATGTGGATTTGAATGCCGAAGAGAGAGAGAGATTTAGGGTTCGAATACAAAGCTATGAACAACAACAGACTGTTGCAGAGAGAGAGAGAGAGAGAGAGCAGAGAGAGAGAAAGGGGTGAGGGTTTGTGTTGGGTGGTCAGAAGGGGCCAAATCAGCGTAATTCCGAACAATTATGTTATCCTTTTCTCTTTGCTTTTTCCCCTTTTCAATTTTATTTATACTAAACTCGCTTCGTTGCGGGTTGATAAGCGAGTTGCTGTTGGGTCAAGTTTTTGGGATGCAAAAATCATTTTTTTGGTTAAACAATGCACTTTTACAGAAATTTAAAGTGTTTGATCAAGGGTAAAAGTGATTTTAAGCGGTAGAAGTTATCTTTTTATTTTTAGAAAAAAACTATAAATTCTAGCTTAAGAAATAGAACGTAGAAATTTTTTTCTATTTGTCCACAAAAGTATTTTTTGGAAAGATTGGCCAAATATATAATGGGGCATTACCCGTTTTTTGTGTTACATTTTAACTTGTGTCCGCTTTGCAAAAAAAATTGCAAGCGTACCCGCTTTTTCGCATAACTTCAGCACACGGGGCTGAAGTAGCAAAGGCAATCACGCAAAACTTCAACATTCTAGTAGCCGGGCCTGAATTTCAGCTCTAGAGCTGAAGTTTTTGTTTTGTAACTAGCAAATTTTTGTGTTGTAACTGGAAACTTCAGCTCTAGAGCTGAAGTTTTTTGTGTTGTAACTGGAAACTTCAGCTCTAGAGCTGAAGCTTTTGTGTTGTAATTGGCTACTTTTAACTCCCTCTCTTCAGCTAGTAAATCGTCGCTTCATATGCAGCAAATGAATTTATTATGACAATTCATGGTTCAATTAACTCAAATCATTTGCATAGCACAGAAACAGAAGAGGATTCTATAACACCTTTAGCATCAACATCTATTGATCTAACAATTATTAGCAGCAGCAATAACAACACATAAACCAAGATTAACCCTTATCAATTCCTAATTAAAACTAAAATTTACTAATACTAATACATGTTTTAATGATTAACAACATCAATAGGAACTGAAGCAACGGGAAGATGTTTGCTGCAATAACAAGAATTTGGATTAAAACATATTTCCATCTTAAGAATAAGAGCTGAAGTTATTAACTGCTACTCCCAGGGTGAAGAAAGATTTTCGACGCAAGACCAATAAAAAAAAAAATAGGCTCTGCATTTTGTCTTTTGTTGAGAAGAAGAAAACGAAGGAGGAGAAGAAGGCTGAAGTTATTTAAGAATTGGTTACAAGTTAAAAGTTTTTTAAAAAAATGGGTATAGGTTAAATGGGGGCAACCAAATAGGGCGTCCCGTGCAATTTTTACACATATAATTTACTTATCAAAAATTACAAAAAGTACTTCCCAAATGAATAGGCCAAACACAAATTGTTACTCTTCAAAAGTGTTTTTCCAGAAAGCACTTTTCAAAATAAGCAGCTTTTGACAGCTTGGCCGATTGGGCTCTTATAATTTGTTTGGCCAAACTTCTAAAATCAGCTTATTTCGAAAAGTGCTAGCAAAAAAGTATTTTTGGTGAGAAGCAGTTTGTGTTTGGCTAACTAATTTGAAAAGTATTTTTGGGAAAAAACTACTTTTATCTGCTTCTCAAAAATTATTTCTGCTTCTACTCAAAAGCAACTTTTTTTCCTGTTAAAAGCTTGGCCAAAAACCTTAACTTTGGAGGGAAAAAAAATACTTTTGGCACAAAAAAAATACTTTTAGTCAAAAAGAAGCTTGGCCAAACAGGCTCTTAATGAGGGTCGGATCCAGTGCATTAGTTTCGGGTTCCAGTGAACCCAGTAATTTTTTTCTAAATCTGTATTTGTATTGAAGAATTCATTAATTGTATAAAAATATTTAGCTTGAAACTCAGTCAGTTAATCCAGTTATTATTGTATATTAAGTTGAGATTTATGTAACAACCCATAAACTTAAAATTCTGGATCCGCCACCGCTCTTAATCTATATTGGATTTATCATATATAATTCACTATCATACATAGCAATTGGGATTATTTTAATCCTAGACCAATCAAATATTACCATATTGAACTAACAATGAAATAACTGAACATATAGCACAATTATTTTTAAGGGGTTTTGGCATGGTATAATAACATACTCATGTAATTGGCAGAAAATAGCCCTAGTTATAGATATTGACATCGAATAGCCAATAAATATATATCACAATAATAATATGTATATCACAATTTTTTTCTTCTTCTTTGTCTATATCAACATGTATATTAAAATTTTATTTTCATTCTTTGTATATAAATAATATTATTCTTTGTATTATCAATAATATAAAATTATATATATAGTTATTGTTGCCTTTATATCAATGTATATCACAATAAAAATATTGTATTATCTGTATATCACAGTTATAGCACATGAGACATGTGTATACCAAAATAGATATCATAAATTTATTTTTCTTCTTAGTGTATATCAAAAATTAATTTTCTTTGTATACCAAATATTATTTACTCCCACAATTATATTTATTATTTTTATATTTTAAAACTCGCTTAAACATGCTATATCAAAAATTTATTTTTCTTTTTTGATCAATAATTAATAATTATGTTATTTTTATATCACAGTGTATAACGTAATAATAATAATAATGTGTATATTAAAAAAAACTTATTAAAATTTTGTTTTCCTTCTTTGTATAACACATTTCAGATTGAATACTCAAGTTCAAGACGACTCCACGTGTATATCCACTATTGTAACCAGTGTATATCTCTATGTACATCAATGATATCTCATGTATATTATGTGTATATGTGTATATGCATAAAATTTGTGTTATATATACGGTATATAATGTGATACACACGGGAGTCCATAAAAACATTTTGTTGTATAGACGATATACAAAGTGATATACACAAACGTCCTTAAAAACTTGTGTGATATACACTGATGTACACGATATACAGCGTGATATACACATGTCGTAGTTGAATTTTTAGGTCTGATTTTTTAGCTTAAACCAGTCTAAATCACTTATAATCTTGCTTAAATTTTGTATATAGCCTCATTTAGGTATTTTCAACCAATTTCAATCACACCCACTCATTCAATCCAACCAAAAAAAAGGAAGAGAGAAGAAAACAAAGTTGAAATATATTTTTTTTCTCTCTTGCTCAAATTTTGTATATAACCTCGTTTAGGTATTTTCAACCAATTTCAATCACACCCACTCATTCAATCCAACCAAAAAACAAAAAAGAGAGAAGAAAAATAAAGTTGAAATATATTTTTTCTCTCTTAGTTTTTGCTTCTGATTTCCTCTGATGTGAGATGAACCTTACATTTTCATCCCACTGATTTTTTTTTTGCATAATTTGCAAGAATTTTTGCTAAACTATAAGAGCAAAAGAGAAGAGATAGAAGCAGAAATACAAGGAGAGAAAGGGGGAGGGAAGCCAAAATAAGCGTGTAGTTTTTTTTAGAGAGAATATAAAAGAGAGTAGTTTTTTTAAGATTTGACTATATGATAGTAGGCTATATAGTTGATATTTACACCTTAATTGCTCATGCTTTGTTGTTGTTTTATAACGTAAACTGCCGACAAAATGCTTTAAATAGTGTTATTTGGTTTCGCACGGATATTATATGTGAGGAAGCAACATGAAGTGTTTGGAGGCGATAATGTGAAGAAAACACTCACTCAAGAAGTACCCGAACACAAAGGAGCAGAAGAAAACGACCTGGGTAAAAGTCCACCGCGACCGCGGTGTACCGCGATGCAGCGCGGGGAGATAAAACACAAAAAAAAAAAAAAAAACTGGGCAGTGTTCGCCGCGGTCCACGCTGCGGCCGCGGTGAACTATTCACGAACCTGAAAATTTGGGGGCCAAAGTGTCAATTCGGGAAAACTTTTGTAAAACCCTTATAAGCTATAGAAACTCCTCCAAGAGAGAAAAAGGCTTGTTTTTTAGAATAGAGGGTTGAGAACAAGACAAGAGAGGCAAGGAGGCAACTTGGGAAACAATTCTTATCTCCCTAATTGTTCTTTCATCAATGACTATGAATTCTTTTGTAGTTTTCATCATTGTTACGAGTAGCTAAATATTTTAATCTAAGGTTTTGGTGAAATCCGTTGGGGATGATTTGGTTGTTATATTAATATAGTTTTGAATTGGTTATTTATCTCTATTTATTCAACTACGTTTTGATTGTGGTTAGTTGAAAGGATCCTCTAGCCGTTCCTATTTATTATGTATCTGCTTGAGAGAGAGTGCATATTTAGGTAGTTGTTTGAACAACTTCACTCCCGGAGTATAGGTGAGAGTCATAACCGAGGATTTAGAGGTTGGATTAGAGATAAGATACCTCGGGTGCGATCTAAGTGAACTGTAATGCGAATCTAGCTAGCGTAGCTTGAGAGAGTGCGTCTAGTAAATTATCATAATTGCTTGAGATAGATTTATGATAGCTGGAGAGTTCATGATTGATAGAGGCAACTAAGTCAAAGCTATAAGAAACATACAACTAAGGAAATCAACAACGGGGAAAACCATTACCTTAGACCTTTATTCCAATTGTTTACAATTCAAACATAGTTAGTTTTCAGCTATTTATTTATTTTCAGTTTTAGTCGCAATCTTTATAATTTAGAAAATTGTTCAATCTTGTCTTCTTGGTGATATTGAACAGATACAACTAAGCCTTAGTTCTCTGTGGGATTCGACTCCGGACTTTTAGATCAGATTATATTTGCAGCGACCGCTTATCCTTTTTAGGACGGGCGTGATCACTATATAATACCAATTGTTTGGGGCTATCTTTGCCAACCCTAATATAAGGCTAAAAAACTGTCAATTTCTGTTATGTGTTATTATAGGATGCCAATTTTTTTATTTTTAAGTACGATGGTTTGAACTGAGAGAGATGGATTGATTAAATGACCATATAAATATGCTAGTTTGAGTCAATTATGTAGTTGTTTCCTCCTCCTACATTTTCTTATTTTTTTCCTACGTTGGTGAGAGACTGTAAAAGGATGAAATGTTCACGATTTATCAAAATGTTAAAATTTGGAACTTTTTCAATTTTAATTTAGAATTTGTTATAAGAAATATAAGAGATTTATTCCCAATTCATGTTACATATTT